CTCTTGCTATTGTGCAGAAAGTCCTACTGACTTGTATGGACCACATACATGATTAAGGTAATGCCTGGAAAATCATATGAAATCCTGACTTTTTTGGAATGACAGTAGCAGGGATCGATTCTGAAGCATTGTGAGTGACAAAAGGTCAGGAATTTACTATTCCCTAATGATCATCTGTGGACTGTTAATAGAGGCAAACAGTGGATTTTCTACCCATATATGGCTTTTGTTACACATCCTTAAAATTAGTTAATTTTCACAGCTTTCAACTGTCAATATTAAATAAATAAATCTATAAGCCTTTCATGAATGGTGTACTGAAATATAGTATAACTTTTGTACACAATGCTTTGCCAAACAGGATAACATCCCTTCCACTCAAAGATACAAATTGCAATATGCTGACCCCTCAAAAAAAAAAAAAAAAAAAAAAGAAATTGAATCCATAAGAAAAATAACTTTTTGTAGCCCTGAATGGAAAACACACTTTTTAAACTTGGTATGCGACCTTTGCCTAAACACTTGTTTATTCATCCCTCTAGAGATGAGTAACAGCAGTTACCTCTTTTAGAGAAAAGGCTCAACCTGCAGGGAGCTCTGCAGCTGTGTTGAGCTGCTGCTGCCTGTGCAAACCTGCACTATGTGAAGGGACCTACCTGCTGTTGTAGCTCTGGTAGTAAGTCTGGTAATGGGCGGACAGCAATGCAGCAGTGAGCGGACACAAGCAGCCACATGGTGCAAAGTGATAACCTGGTCCAAACTTGCTGAACTGAAAACTGTTTGATGAATTTTGGTGTGTTTAATCTGTACCTGCAGGTTTGTGGGCTAGATCAACAATTGTTTGTTACCCTGATGCCAGCTTAAAATTGCAATACAACCCTTCTTGTACACGTTGCTTACTTTGTCAAGAATATGATCATCTACCTGACATGCACGACTCAGATCCCACCAGGTGACCTGGTAGCGCACAGATTTAGTATTGAAAACTACGGCCTAAGAGAGAGGGTTGATCATAATGTGTTCAGATAAAATAGTAAATCCAGTTTTAAGCCAGACTACAGCCAACATACCTGCTGAAATGATAGAATCATAGAGCAGTTAAGATTTGAAAGGACCTTAAGATCATCTAGTTCCAACCCCCCCTTTCATGGGCAGGGGCACCACACATTAAACCGTGTCACGCAGACTCCATCCAACCTGGCCTTGAACACTGCCAGGGATGGAGCATTCACAGCTTCCTTGGGCAACCCATTCCAGTGCCTCACCCCCCCTTACCGTAAAGAACTTCTTCCTTATATCTAACCTAAACTTCCCATTTGCTAGTCCTTTTCAATGATTCAAATGCTTTTTTTTTTTTTTTTTCCCTTTGGAAAGTATAATTTATTCCAGCAGACTTTCTGTTATAAAGAATCACCTTCCCTCTTTCTGCTCACCAGCTGCCAGGATGGAAACCTGAAGGTGACAAACACTGTGTATCTCCCTCTGCCACCTTGGCAGGGGTGAGGATGTGGGCTTAAGTCTATCTTGCAAGTCTTTGCTGTGGGATGATAGAGGAGTGCAGGCGCTGCATTCATGACTGTGGAACCATAAGCCTCGTCCACAGAGCTGTGTGTCGCCAGGCTCACCATGCAAACTTGAAAACCTGGTCTGCGAGGGGAAATAAAAACAAACACAGTGAAAGCGGGGAACAGGCAAACAATTGGTCTGAACCTCCTTCTCAAATCAAATCACTTTTATTGCTGGAAAATTATAATAAATGAAAAAAATGTGAACTTCTGGAGAGGTGGTCTGGTCCTTGCCACAGAAATTAACTCCATACCAGGCTGCAAGCAGGGAAAGAGAACTGACATCTTTCCTAATGCTCCATACTGGCACTAAACTCAAACTAACCCACAGAGCATCTGAAGAAAGCAAAAGGGCAGTGCTTTCTTATTGCTTGGCACTCTGGTAATCAGTGTTTTGTTTGTTGATTGTTTTTTTCCTTTTTTTAATTTCTCAGTATTTTTTGAACAAAAATATCCTACAAACAGAACTTATAATTGCATCATGCCCCTTGACTACTAGTTAGTTTCATCTCAAATAAAGATGAGATGATGCAATCATGAGAAAAATCAACTCAAAAGAACAGTTGCGATCTGGGCTTGAAAAGAGTAGCACAAGCAAGCAACGTGGCTATTGAATCCCTTTGAGAAACTGGAGACATGCTGCCTTCCTGTCAGCTCCACTTCATTTGTCCAGAGCATGCTGTAAAGCAGCTGGTGTTGGGGGACATCATGTAACAAAAGAACAGAGAGCCTCTGCAATGTTGTCCTGCTTAAAAAATGAGTAAATAGATTTGTCAGTTGGAAAATTACAAAAATCCTTATGAATGAATAATGGATTTATCAGGTCAGCAATCTGCTAGTGAGTGACCAGCTCTGCACGCCTTACTCACAAAGCATGGTGCTCTTCCTATCCAAATCAGACACAGAGACTGGCCCAAGAAGTGTGACAGAGAAGGATGACAGCAGATGAATGTTCCAAACACCAACAGCGAGAGACATTTGCTTTCCTGCCTGCAACCCTGGGAAGCATCTGTGTAGTTAGGACAGAAGCGCTGCTACATTAACCCTTGTGAAACCATTAGCAGGGCACATAGCAAGTCTCATCTGTTTACTCAGGCCTCTGGGAGGGGGGAGAGCTGCTGTTTTGTTGTTCTTTAAGTGTGAATGACACATGATACAATGGGGAATCAGGAAACTTTTGGTTGCTGTACCAATATGAAAGCTGTAGTGAACTGCATTTTAATCTTTCAAACAGACAGAGGAGTTAACTGACAGGCTTAATAGTTCACAGTTCAGAAAAACATAAATAAATTAGCTAGAATGAGTTGACCTTATAATCAAGAACTAAAACCACACCTTTGAACACCATGTAACAAAAAGAATGAATAAATGATTGTTTTCAGGTACACAGGCAAAAAGACCATTTTTTTTAACCACTAATTCCCTAAACTGTGTGAAGTGTCGCTCCTTGGCTCCATGGCAGGAGTCTGCAGCAGCATGTGCAAGAAGGCAGCTGTTTGTGCCGGGGTGGGAAAGCTGGGCTCTGCACAGCTGGGCGCTGCACAGCCACGCAAAGGACGGGCAGCCCCTATCCCAAAGAGCCTACGTTTCAAGTGCATGACTAGGGATAACAGATGGATAGAGACGGGAGACGATGAAAACAGTGGGATACTGGGCAGTCTGAAATCCCAGCTGCTTACTTGCTGTGTAACATTGCCAAGTTAAAATTTCACAGTCTTACTGTCACAGCAGAGTTCGCTCTGCTCTTCCTCACTGAGGAAGAGGAACAGCGAGACCTTTGTGCATGTTACAAAAGGGCTTTGGGCTGGAATTTGCTGCTGAACCAAATCCCCTAACTGATGCACGCAATAAAAGTACCAGGTTTCTCCACATCTCCTTCCTGCTTCGTTAATAGAAAAGTGGTTGTAGGCCAAGTAGCAAAGAATAGTGAAGGCTGGTATGGTGGGCACATGGTTTTGGAGGTCAGCACCTCCAAAACAAACCTCTGAGACTGATATTCACTGTGGGTTAACATTGGCTTCAGAAGGTGGCCAGGACACAAGTGACACATTACCTCCAAGGAAAGTGAGCCTGAGATACAGCTGACAGCTTAATGCTCTTAAAGCAAGAGCAGCAAAACAGAAGTAACCTGTTATGGTGAAAGGGGCTCCACTCCCAAGGAGGCTTTTAAGCGTAGGATTCAGAAATAAAAAACCCAAATGCCAATACTGGGATGAGCGCAGTTGAAGGCAGTCCACAGTTGCTGCTAAAATTGTCATGAGGTCATGACTCACCCAGGGCCGCCACTGGAACAGGGTGAAGAACCCTGCTGCTGCTCCACCCCTTGGGCAGGTCCCCACTCCTGGGGCATGGTGCCAGGTGGCTCCCAAATTGCCAGCATTTGGGAGCTGCCTCTCTGCCTGCCAGGTCACCCCCATGCAAACGACTGCAAGGGGAAACCGTGACCAATGACACCAAGTTATGTGGTGTGGCTGACATGCTGGAGGGAGGGGATGCCATCCACAGGGGCCTTGAGAGGCTTGAGAGGTGAGTGAATGCCAACCTCATGAAGTTCAACAAGGCCAAGCTGGGGCACTCCCAAGCACAAATATAGGCTGACCTAGTGGAAAGTGTCCCTGCCCATGGCAGGGGCAATGGAAACAGATGGTATTTAAGGTTCTTTCCAACCCAAACCATTCTGTGAATTGCTGAGTACAAATTAAGCAATGCTAATGTGATGGTAGGGGTAATGGGACCAGTAGCAATTCCTGTTTCTGGTAATAATGACTGTTTATCCTTGTTTGCTCTCTGCCTAGGTTCTCTGTATTTTACAGACTGGTCTTCACACCTAGGAAAGCTAAAATTGCACCTTGGTTTAAAGAAAAGGGAGATTTGTGTCACTACATCATAGAATTATAGAATGGGTAGTGTTGAAAAGATGGTATCATCTAGTTCCAACCCCCTGTCACAGGCAGGGACACCTCACTCTAGACCGTGTTGCTCAAGGCCCTGTCCAATCTTTCCTTGAACACTGCCAGGGATGGAGCATTCAGAACATCCTTGGGCAACCTCTTACAGTGCCTCACCGTCCTCGCAGTAAAGAACTCCTTCCTAATATCTAACCTGAACTTTGCCTGTTCAAGTTTAAACCCATTCAATCTTATCCTATCCCTACAGTCCTTGATGAAAAGTCCCTCACGGGTATCCCAAGACATCATACCAAGAGCAGTGTTTTTCAGACATGACACGTGTAAGGGGTCTCATAGCGTGATCTCAGCTACTGCGCAACCCTTACGGACGGTTCAGCCGCCACCGACAGCCCCGGAACCGTCTGTCACGTCTACGCCAGGCCCGGCCCGGGACAGCACCTGGAGGCGGGGCAGCACCGGGGCGGGTCCGGCGGCTGCCGGCGGGAGGAGCCAGGCCGGGGAAGGGGCGGCCCGGAGCGGCGCTGCCGGGACGGCCGCGCGAGAGGGGACTAGTCCGCGCCCGGGGGAGCGCGGCTGCGTTCTGCAGTGGGGGCTGGTGCCGGTACCAGTACCAGTACCAGTGGGGTTGAGCTCACCATGGAGCCGGTGACCCGGTGGAGCCCGAAGCAAGTGGTGGACTGGACTAAAGGTAAGAGAGCGCCGGGTGGGCTCCGCGGGAACTTTCCGGTGTCTTGCTGCGGGGTGACCCGCCGCCCGGCGGGGTAGCGCTGGCCGCCGCCGCTCCTCTCCCCGGAGCCGGGCTCCTCGGCGGGGCGACCGCGTGGCCGGCGGGGCCTTCACCAGTGCCGGCCCCAGTCCCGGCTCCGTGGGACACTTTCGGCGTGGTGTATGGGAGGAGGCGGCGGCGGCTTACCGCGCCCTCCTGACTTGTCTGCTTACCTCCTAGTGCACTTGTGCGTGTTTCGGTCGTGTTTGTTTTGGTTTGGTTTTGGGACACGGGGAAAGGGGAAGGTGAGTTTTCCGCCGGTCTGTGTGAGGGTGGCTGGCTCGGGGCACATATATGTGTGTGTATATATATATCTATATATATACACACACATATATACAGTGGGGTCCCCCCAGGGCTCGATCCCCTTCTGCTGTTGTGCTTGTATATCTATATCGCATCTGTATGCTCGCACAGAGATAGTAACTGTTCTCCTTCAGGTGGTTGTTGGCCCACGTGAGTTTACTTACAGCTTTTGAAACAAAACCTACTCACTGGTCGAAGAAACTTTCTATGTTGTAAGTTAAGCAAAAGCTGTATGAACTAGTTTAAGTAAGCAAGGACTCTTAATCCTGTTTAACGGTGTTGGGATTAAAACGCAGGGCTCCCGCTCGGGCAGCTGAGTAGTGTCCCCTTCATCCGTCTGTCCATCCATCCCTCCCACCCCGCATCTCTCGTGTCTGTGCTGTTTCTCTCCCTCTCCCGCCTATCAAAACTTCCTACTCTGCTTGGAGGTTTGTTCACGATGTTGACAGAAGTGTGGAAAGCTTCAGCTGGACTGATGTGCGAAGAAGAGACTTGGGAAGCTTGCCCCCAGCTCCGGGAAGCTCTTTGGTGGGAGAGAGGAAGTGGGGACAAAGCAGGCTCTGGGTCACGGGCTGCACCCTTGAGGTGCCCGTTCCTGCTGTGGGGACCTCTGCAGTGTTGGGTATCGTCGGGGTTGTTTTTGAAGGCAGATAAAACCTCAGGTTTGTCAACTCCAGTTGGACCCTGTGAGTGTTTTCCGAGTGCCCACTGGGATATTACTCTTGCAGTTCCCTCTCTACCGGGAATAAATTGAAAGGGAAATCACTATGACTTAGGTGAGGGATTTATGACTTTGGAAGGGTACTTCTGTTTTTTCGTAGGACTATGTTTTAGTGTGATTGCCTTTTGTTACATAAAGTATTTTCACAGGCTTTGCTGGAGTTGAAGTCGATGTGAAGTTAGGAATGTTTTCAGAGGTGAAAGTTTCCCTGGATTAGAAGCGGCACGCACTTATAGAAGCCATTACTCCTCTGTCTCAGGACCATAATGCTGATTAGACTGCGTGCCTGTGGTCAGCACTTGGCAGTAGTTCGGCTCAAGACCGAGGCAAATTTGGAAAGCAGGCTCATGTTTTCACACAGAGTGAGATGGATACTCCCAGCCCTCCTGAGCGTGAACATGTACGTGAAGGGGCTGTGCCAGAGAGGGACCATCCAAGCAGCCTTTGTGAGAAGAGGATTCCATACAAACGTGCTGTGAAGTTATGCGTTAACATATAAATAACTTCCCCAGAAAGATCTCTTTTCCCTGATTGGTGTTGGTTTAAACAGGAGTGCATTGTTCCGATGAAATACGCTTTTTGCTGTGGCATGTGGAATATTTATATAATGCTTTTCCCTCATTGTGTTTTTTCTCTTGGGCGCTGAAAGTTTGTTACCTTGCCAGATTAAAGATTAAACCTGCTAATCATTTTAAAACGCTTTCTTATACTTCAGCATGCTTGGCTTGCTCTCTTGCATAATTTATTTTACTTGCAGGTTCCTTGAACAGGTAACTCTTTAGCTGGACCCTCAATTAGTGTTATGCAGAATAATTTGAGGGCTGGCTGTAGTTGGGATGTGGATCTTCTGACTAATGCAAACACGTGTCCTTTGAAATGCAAAGGAATAAATTAAAGGCTGCTGGTGACTTTTGTTTCTGCTGCTGTTTTTCAGTTTCTAGGTAAGCTTTTGACCTCTGGTGCACAGTGTCATTTTATGTCACTCCCTGCATGACAAGACTGTAATAAAGAAATGAGATGTGGAAACTTTTTCTTTATGGTTGTACTTCCATCTCTGCACGTTAAAATTGACACTTTAATAGCTAGCTAACAGCTTTGTTAGCACAATGTTTCATAGTTTATTTTTAATCTGAAATGGTTATTTACTGTGTAGTTCACAATCACTGGATTTTATATTTGACCAAAACCTAACATTCTGTATTTTATCTTATGAATATTATATTTAATTCTCAAAGTTAATTTCGTAAAACAAGTTTTTAGAGGAGAGCTTATGCCATTTGTTTTCTTACACGTGCCATTTAGGAAGGGGGTGAGACCATGATCTTCACTGAACCGGCCAAGATCTGGGAGAAAGTATTTGGCTAGTGGTATTTGCTGCCTGTAGTTAGTGCTGTGGTGCCATGGAGATGTATTCTAGAAGAATGACACAAATAACTGGTGGGAGATGCCAGTTCTCAGTGGGGAGATTGGTTTTGCAGATAATGATTCATGCTTATCGTACAACAATAACAACATCTTGGAAGATGTAGAGTGGCAGAAATAAGTGATCTGACTTAGTCCATTTTAACGTTCAGTGTAAAGCTGAGAATATTTCTCCAGGGTTTTTCTTTTCCCTTACAAATCTTTGTACAATCAAGCAACTGTAGAAGAGTTTATATATATATATATGTCTGTGTGTGTGTCTGTGTGTATATATATATATATATATATAAATAGCTTTTCCTAGCCACAAGAAACATGAAACCTCCCCCTTATTCCATGAAACAAGCCCCCAAAAGCAAAGTCCAAAAGTAAGCTGCTAACTGCTGGAGAGTTGGCTTATTTGCTCTTGGTGAATTTGCTTATGTTTTTTTAGTGTAGCTTTTGAACGAACGTTTTTAACAAGGTAACTCTTACCCTGAAGACTGTTGTTCTGTGATTTTTGAGCTGTACACTCCTAGATAAATACTATAAATACCATTTATCTATAATTTAAAACAGAACCTATCAAGAAGTAGTAAGCTGAATGTGAATATTTTTAGATTTTTATAGTCAGGTTTTAAATAAAAAGTGCTCTGTTTGTTTCTACCAACAACAGCTGGTACAAAATGCAGTTGCTTGTCCTCTCGTGCTAACTCAGACTAGAATGCTGCTATTTTTTGTGAACAAGGGTGTTTTTTTCTGGTAGAGTGCTGTGTACCAACAGTAGCAGTCTATGTAGCTAATAAGAGTTGGTCTAGCTAAACCAAAGCTACTGAGGAAGAGTTGTGCTTTTACTTGCTACCAGTTTTCTGTGTATAGATTAAGCATTTCTCAAGCTTTGACCAAGGATGTCATAACTCTTTAGCTATAGCATCAGGTTTTGAAAACTGTATCTTATATTTTTATAAGTACCTCCTTGATTTCTGTCTGGAAGAAGTGATGGTGTAGTTATAGGTTTCTCTTACAGCATGGCACAAACTGAAATAGTGTTTCGGAGCCTTTTTCAGCCATGAAAGGTGGTACTTTGGCTAGGATGCTATGTTGATTTGACTTGTGGTTCTGCTGGCATGGAGTTTATGTTCTTTGAATGCCTGCACTGTTTTCCTGACTACACTGGCAAGATTTTTTTTGGATCATTCTGTGGTTAACCTGTAGTCTTGCTCTGGTGCAGGCTAAGATCCTTACAGGCTCAAAATCCTCACCTGTATCTCACAGCATTCCCTTGTGAGCCCATGAAACTGAATTCACCCAGAGGCCCTTGAGGGATTCCTGGAGTTATTCAGGTTATTGTGGGACAGATGTATGCCTATGGAAATTGTAGTGTATCTGCAGTACACTGCTGGTATATGTTTGTGGGCTTGCAGTTTTTTTTGCTGTCCTGAATGCAGAAGCGAGCAAGAACCCGTGTACTTCCATAGGGCTGTGCAAATAGAGAAACATCTAGCACAAAAGTGATTTACTTTTACTGGCATAGCGACGGTTTGAAGAGAGCAGTGTTGTGAAGTGGAGGAGCCTTCTCCGGTCTCAGAAAACCCTGGCTACTGAAAACCCTGCAGCTAAGGCCATTCCTCAAAAGATGTGAGGAAAGCTGTGTATGGGATAGTCTCCTGTGTGAGAAATGTCACTCTCTTGTTGGAGAACATTGATGTGCTTTGTTTGTTGTAGCCTGATCTGTCTCTTCCCCCTGCCCCCAGGCCTCACATACTTATGTGAGTTGTGTCTTCAAGCCAAATTTTACACGGTAAAGATAGTTTGATGCACTTGTGGTTAGAAGCGTCTGTTGTTGTGAGGCTCCATTACAATTTGGCCTTTGTAGCTGTAGGCTCAGCTAGCTGGGGATCACACATCTGCTTTGGCCTCTTTACTGCACTCCAGGTACAGTTATTCCCTTCCTCTGTAGTTCATGGATATCACTTACTCCTGTGGCTATTATATCATGAAATACTCAGATTTCCATTCCTGGTAAAGCTTTCAGGCAACTATATTTATTTATAGGGATGCTTGGGAGAAGATGGGGATATATGCTAATTTATAAATAGTTAGCAATTAATTGTGAGAGCCTGGTCTTCCTTTTTTAGAGCTATCTTGCTTACCCAGGAAGATTTCAACAAGGTCACTGATATTAACTGTGTGTGCTGGGAGCTGCAAACTAGCTGGAATTTAGGAACAGTGATGGGTAATGCATAGCATCAGAGTTGTTTTTTAGCCTTTTCTTTTTAGGTATCCTCAAATGAATGTTTTGTTCCACTTTTTTTGGAAAATAACAGTAAGAACCCCCTGATTATTTCTTCAGGCAGAATACTTTGATTTCAGTGAAGAAGAGTAGAAGGCTGCCTATGACTGGGGCTGCAGAAGAATATCTTTCCTCTGTTTACTTGGATGCCTAAAAATACTTGTATGGAGTATGTGTTAAATAGATCAGAAAGTGACATTG